TTGATGATGATGCTGTTTTGGGGACGCTTCTCTCGGTTTGATGGATACCGGTGAGTCCGCCGCCCCCCCCCCCCCCCCCCCCGTTTTTCCTGTTGATGATTAAGATTACTGGTATTCGCCGACATGGCGATTGACCAGTGCAGGTGTGTATATATGGTTCGATGATTTTTGAGGTAATGTTGATTTTGGAGGAGATCTAGAAATTTTGTCAAGGGTAGATTAGTTTATAGTGAAGCAAAAATAAAAGTTTACAAAAAAAAAAAAAAAAAAAAAAAAAAAAAAGCCAAATGAGAGTAGCATTTTATTTCTTTATTTTTCATTTTTTCAACCTTCATTCAGGCTAACCCTTTTATGTATATAGTTTTTTTTTCTCTTTATTTGGATACTCACCCCTTTTAGGATGCATGCTTTCACTTCGGATATGCTTACTTGGGCGTCATTTCGATGAGATATTTCTTTTTCCTTTTTTTTCTTTCCTTCACTCTATTTTTCGTTGGTGTGCTCTAGGATAGTTGTAGTTTAATGGAAGTTGAATGATTCGAGGATGTTTGCTATTAACACCTAGTGTGTTTGGGGCCGTTGATGTTGATATCTAACGGCCACTTGTTTTTCGATTGGGATATATTTGATTATGCTTACTTCCTCTTGTATTTCCAATTTCTTGGATTTCAAAAAAAAAACTTAATGGTCCTGCGTTCTTGAATGTCTTTATTCCTAAGGATTAAAAGTTTCCGCGTTCTTGGATTTCCATTGGTTGACTCTAAGATATGTCTATGCTAAGGTAGTTGTGCTAGAACTCCTAAGGCCCACCGAACCCAAATTCGCTTGTTTGTGGTAAGAAGGTGTTGCCCTCATTGGGGGATTTGAAGCCCTAAAGGTAGTTTTTGTAACCCGATGTGAGTTTTACTGTTCAAGCCTCCAACACTTATTGTATGAGCGGCATAGGATCCTTACCAAGGCATGCTTAGATCGAGAACTTGATGTCTAGCTACCCGAGATCGCGACCAAACTAAATCTAGGGAGGACAAAGGCATTTTCTTCAATGATTATTTTGCTTTTCTAGGTTTAGCTTTTCTTTTGTTGCTTCCTTGTAATTTCATTTGCATATCCCCCTTGCTAGCCATGTTGAGCCTACACCTCCTTGTTTGTAGCATATTACAAACCCTATGGCCCTTCTATTTCATTTTCTTCACCCGTAGAATTGTGAAGTTTGAGCCATGAAAGTTTGTTGTGATTTTGGTTTGATAAGTTGGAAGGTGATGGTTTGATATGAAAAGTAAGGTTGTTTTCGATATTTTTGGTGTTTATTAAAAGCAAATGTGAATTTAAGAAAAAGTCGTCCATAGTTATAAAAGGCAAGGACAAAGTAATAAAGGTTGATAAAAGCATGAGCTAAAAAAAATAATAAAAAAAATAAAAAATAAAAAATGAAAATAAAAAAATTTGAAAATTTGCAAAAAGATTTTGATGTAGTGTCCTCCCTAGTTTGCGCTTTGAGGACAATACTCAATTCAAGCTTGGGGGAGAGGTTCTACGGATTTTATTTATAGTTTTGTGAGATTGTGTTGAATAAGCTTGGGGGAGATGTATTTTTGCTTGAAAATTGGTGATATTCTACGTTATTTTCGGGAATTGGCGCCATTCTTTGCTTCACAATTAGGATTTACCACCAAATTTTCATATATTTCCTCACCTTTACCTCCTAGCCTACATTACAACCCCTTTTAAAGTCCTTTTGACTTGGATTAGTTGAGTCACTAGTCGGTGGAGGGAGCTAGATTTCAAGCATATGGAGAGAGCATGACTTGGTAAGATGTCGGGTCACCCTTGTTTCATTTGTTTCGGCTCCTTCGTGGAGTCATGAGATGCTACCTTGGAGGGTGGATTTGAATCTAAATGAGGGAACGCGGTAAGAATGTATGGAATGCGGGTGGAGTGGAGCATGTTAGAGTTCTCTATGCTTAGCATAACTTATCTTTCAATCAACCATTGGCATCCAAAAACGTGCTTACTCTTAGTGCTTAGAAAGATTGTCATCCATCTATGCTTATCTTTTCAATATGCTCTTCATTTCCATGTTTTGTTCCGTGTTTGTAGTTGATTTTCTTCTTTATTTGCTCCTTTGTTTGGGTTTGTTTTTAGCATGTTGCCAAGAGTTGTGGGTTAAACTCTTTGGAAACCCCCACGAGAGCATACTCGTCCTCATTGGCGACTTTGAGGTTTAAATGGCTTGTTGTTTATGCTAAAAACAACCGTGATTCCTACGAAAGTTAGTTAGTGTAAATTCCTTTCCCTCCTTTTCTATTTTTCTTGTGTTTGAATAATTGTTTCTTATTTTTCTTTGCCCTTAGCTTTGCTCGAGGACGAGCAAAGGTTTAGCTTGGGGGAATTTGATGAGTGACATTTATGTCGCTCTTAGGGTAGTCTTTTCTAGTAGTTTTAGTAATAATTCGGTCCATTTTAGTATGTTTTTGCTATGATCCGCCTAGTGGGAGTATTCTACCTTTGTGATGCGTAATGTGTATTCATGTGGTTTAGGTAGTCTATACTCCCCTCCCCTTTCGTTTTATTACTCTTTGCCTTCCTGTTCCATGATTGTAGGTGGACGCCGTTGATTCGGAGATGGAAGGAACAAGGGCAAAACGGGAAGAATTCCACACCAGACAAATGGCACGGGCGCGCCACCTATAAGCGCGGGCGCGCTGATGAGCTGGATCAACCATTAAATACCCACATTGGAGCGGGCGCGCATTTCAAGGAGTGGCCGCGCCATCATTTAATTGATGCGGATTCAAATCCCGAATTCAGTCCAATCAACAAAAGGGAGGCAAAACGGCTAAATTGGGACAACATTCTATCATTAGGATATTTTTTAGCATAGAAACCTTGGAGGAGAGCTTTTTAGGAATTTTTCTAGGTTATTATTTTAGCCACTTTTGTATTGAACAATCTTGAGTGTTTTTAGTGTAATTTCATTGCCCATCAACATTAGTTTTACTGTTAGTGTTGGAGAAGTATCTTGCAACATTGATGTATGGTCAAGCTTGGAGATTGGATGATGTATGGTTCTTTATTTGGATTTCAATGAACGTTTTGGTATATTTCTCTATTTTCTCTTGTTTTTATGATTAAAGTTTCTACCTTTGTTAGTTTAGTTGATAAAAACCTTGTCTTTCTTACTATTTCATTGGTTATAATGTTGCTTAGTATGATTGTAGTTGTAGTTATGGATAGTGAGTAGTTTCTTGTTGCTAGGGGTTTGGTGAAGATATGCTTTGAGTTTGATGTATGTTAGGCTAGGTTAATTTGGAATATTTGTGATTAAATCTTCCTTGTGCTTATACTTATTAGCCACTCCATGTTTATGGCCATATGCATATTGTGGTTGAGTGACTTGAACTAAATCATGACGATAGTGTGATTTAAGAATAGTCATTAGGTGATTGATTATTGCATGACCTTAGTTTGTATGCCTTATGACGATAGTGTAAGTGTATGCTAGCTAGGATAGCTCTTAATCCCGATAGGTGATTAGAGAGTATTCTTGACATTGCCTTGTATGAGTTGCTTGGGTTACATGTAAACCTATTTTCCGATGCCTAACTTCGTTGAATTCATAGCATGTTTGATCCTTCCCCCTAGTGCTTGTTTTAATTGTTATTCTATCCCCTTCAGTCATTACTTTACCCACCATACTTCTAGATCGAACTAGATTAACATTAGGAGATAAATAGCGGTGCTTAATTGTTTCCTTGTGTTCGACCCTTAACTTGCCTCTATACTCTTTTAGTTGCATGTTTAGGACTAGAAATATCATTTGATAGAGGTGTCTTAGTAACGACCTAAAATACCGCCTGTCAAATTGGCGCCTTTGCCGGGGAAACGGTTTCCATTGTGTGTTTATTTTCTTGTTAAGACTAGTTCTTTTCCGCTCTTTTTTTTTTCCATATCTTGTCAGTGCTCACTTTATTCTTAGCTTTGTATATGCACAGGAGGCTTAATTGCTCTAAGCCTTTGATGTCCTTAGACCTCGAGCTAGAGCGTACTCTGGCCCAATTGAGGATACAAGCAAGGGAGAGAGGTGAAGACCCACTTCAAGAGGAAGTGAGAAGTTCCCCTACCCCATCTTCACCCACTTCAAGTGAGGAACGTGAACCATCCATAGGCTCAATTCCCAACCTATTTGCCAATAACCATAATCAACAAAGCATGGCTGATCAAAGAAACATGGGTGATCAAAGGTCACTAAAGCAACTTGGTGTAGGGTTTCGTAGTGACTCGACACTACGCGGAAGGAAACCCAACAAGACCCGCCCCTTAATTAAAGCAATTAAACATGCATAAAAAACTTAATCAAACAAGATTAAGGACAAGAATTATACCTTTGACGCGTGCTTCGCTCCTAAAGAGCTCTTACTTCAAAATCCCGGAAAGACGAGATCTCCGACGGATCGTATCCTCGACCCGACCCGAGCGTCCTAAGTCTTGAAGGTTAGTCAAGACCCGGACAAAATAACTATGAGTTTTACGAATCAAAGGTTTACTCTTTTCTTAGAGTTGCCTTTTTAATTCCACTTAAGGTTGTTTCAAATCCCAATACCAAGCTTGGTATTTATAGGGAAATGATCCCTTGATTTTTCATCCTCCACCAATGTGGGAGAATGTATTTTGCTAATTAATTTATTTCTAAAATAAATTATTAAACAAAACTAATCACAATGCAACAAGTGTCAAATAGAGAGAGAAGGTTAGGTGAGGACCATGAACCTTGGGGGGGGGGACCATTGCCTTGATCCCCAAGGCATGCTCTAAGCCAATTGGTCCCCACTCCCTCAAACCGCCACATACAAGGGGCATGCTTGGCTGCTGCCACCTAGCACGCCAGCTAGCATGGTGCTGGCCAGCCCAGCCAGCTAGCATGGTGCTGCCCAGCAGCCTCGCATGCTTGGTGCTAGGCCATGCTAGGCGCTGGTGCTGGCCAGTGCTAGGCACTGCTGCTGCTCGCAGCCTAGCACTGCCTATCGCACCATGCACACTCTCTCTCGCATCGCATCGCTAGCACAGCCAGCATGCGTGCTGCTAGCGAGCCACACATGATGGCCGCACTGACCCTCGCATCATGCGCACACGCCTCCTACCCACACGCACTAGCTGGTCGCATATGTGCAAGCCTTGCACCTCAATAAATTTTTGGGCCGGACCAGGCCTAACCCAATTTCGAACCAAAAAATTCTGTCCAAAACCCGCCCAAAATCAAGCCGGACTAACTTTGATCACCTCTAGCCAAGAGCCCAAGTGATGCACTCAAATAAACCAATGCTACACATTTTTCCCCTTAAAAAAAAAAAAAAAAAAAAAAAAAAAAAAAACATCTCCGGTTTTAAGCAATGCAATGCTGCATTCACTGATTTTGAAATTTAAACATCAACAACGGTCATTTTTCACTAAAACAGTAAAACAACGAAATGCAATATTCTGCTTTAAACGTAATAATAATCATTAATAAAATTCACCCCTAAAACTTTCCCTCTCAATCAAATCAAATTAAATTTAAAGCATTTCTTCTTTATTTATCTTTTTCAGTTCAAATTAATCTAGCGCAAACTTCCATAGTTTCAACAACAATGGAGGACCACAATCAATGGCATGATCCACTTCTTCTTACTGATGTCTCTCGTCAACAACAAACCCTAATTTTTTCTCACGGTGAGCAATTCCCTGATAATTTTTTTTCCAATTTAACCCTAATTTTGATGAATTTTCTCAATCTGGGTTTTCCGAATTTATTAGTTTGTTATGAACCCTAAAATGCGGAAATCAGGATGTGTATAGAATAATTTATTTCTCCCCGCTAAACCCTAATTTTGTTGAATTTTTAGTCTGGGTTTGTTTCATTTATTGTAGATATTTCTTCGATTAATACAGATTCTCAATCAAAAGAGATGGAAAATTCAGAAGGTAATCACAGGAAATTTCAGATTATTAAGTAAATGTTACAGTATTTCATGAACCCTATATGTTTGATAATTTGCCTGACTGAGATTTCAACTTGATTGAAATGATGATTTTGAATTAAGCGTGAAATTTGATGTTCTAGGATCTACTGGGTTGCATCAAAGCTTGGAAATTATTAGTCCGCAGCGATTTACTGATCTGATTAAGGGTGATACAAACAATGGTAATGTAGGAATTTCCATTGTCTGTTTACAATTTACATGTGTGATGAGATTAGCCTCGGAACTTTGATTTTTGGTGATAACTGCAGGTAGGTCGATGTTGGGGTTTTCGTTAACGGCGCCTGATTTGGTTGTCTGTGCTGGTTCACCTGATATCCTGAAGCAGAGTTCTGCTGAGGAGAGGGCAGCTAACATTGTGTTGTCACTAGAGGAGGGTATAAATGGAGTTGAAGCAGAAGCTTCTCGGGGTAGCCATGAGTCTCCGAAGTTTTCATCATTTTGGCACTCGGCTGAAGTAATTATCTCACACTCATGGATTACTCTAGTAGTTAGATATGACGCGACACTTGGGTGTTAATTTGTGGTTTGACAAATGGTTTTGCACAGGATATATATGGGTCTGAGTCAACTGGAGGTATCAAGAAGTTGCAAGGAGAATATGATAATCAGAAGAAGCAGTTACTTGAAGCAAGGAAAGCTATAGAAGAGCTGAAGAAAGAGAATGAGGTCAAGAGCAATGAGTGCCAAAAGGCCTTAAAATCCCTGCATGATCTCCAAAATGAGCTCATGCGCAAGTCAATGCACGTTGGCTCATTAGGTAATCGAGTGTTCTATATGCTGTCTATTCTGCAAATGCACTTGGTTTGCACATTGATGAACTTTCATTATAATGCAGCATTTGCGGTCGAAGGACAAGTCAAAGAAAAGAGCAAATGGCTCTCCTCCTTGAGTGTCTTAAAGAGACATTTAAAGGTACTGATATCGATTTTATTGACCAAGTTTTATATATGGTCTGCTGAAATCTTAAGAGAATATTTTCCTTTATTTCAGATTCTGAAATTGGATCAAATTAAACTATCAGAAGAAGCAAAGAAATACAAGGATTGTCTTGGAGATATGGATGACTTGAAATCTGTTATGCAAGCCACATGTAACAATACTAGTGCTCTATCTACTGACAATTTGTACTGATGGTTTTGTAACAATAATTACTGATAGTTTTGTACTTTATTTTTTCCTCTTTGTTCATAGTAACTCAGCAGGTTTCATATCATGATGAGCTGAAGAGGAAAATCAGTGAAGGGGAAAAACAAAGAAAAGAACTTTATAACAAAGTTCTGGAGTTAAAAGGTCTATCATTGTGCCGAAATCTAGTAGTGACAAGACTAAGGAAACTTTATTGCTTAACTTTAAGTTGTTGAGAACTTAATCCTACCCTGTGCTCTGCTTGCAGGTAATATACGTGTTTTCTGTCGCTGCAGGCCTATGAACCCTGAGGAAATATCCATGGGAGATAAGGCAGCCATTGATTTTGAATCTGCTAGAGATGGAGAACTCACCATTAAGTCAAATGGTCATCCACGTAAGACATTCAAGTTTGATGCTGTTTTTGGTCCGCAAGCAGGCCAAGGTAGTTTGATCTTTAATAATCACCTTTTCTCTATATCAATCATTCAACTGTGATTGTTATTCATTGAATCTAATCCTCTACTATTTACCATCTATTATTCCTTTACCAGCTGATGTATTCGAGGATACTGCACCATTTGCAACCTCAGTTTTAGATGGATACAATGTCTGTATCTTTGCTTATGGGCAGACTGGGACTGGAAAAACATTCACAATGGAGGGCACGGAGGATGCTCGTGGTGTCAATTATAGGACTCTTGCTGAACTGTTTGAAATTATGAGTGAGAGACAGAAGCTATTTCAGTATGAAATATGTGTGAGTGTATTGGAGGTATACAATGAGCAAATAAGAGATTTGTTAGCCTCTGGAACTCAGCCTAGTGTAGCTTCAAAGAGGTAGGATGTTTAATATTCAGAAACTTTCAATAGATATAAGGTCAGAAATTGTTGATCATGTGGGATTCATGGTCCATCAAATATCACTATATAACTCGTAAATCATACGTGAGTTAATTATATATGTTTATAGTATGAGTGTACAGTGCCTTCAACTCAAGCAATTTACCCTGAATGGCACCTCACACGGATTTAACAACATATTTCTTGAGCCTCCAAGAGTGTGGCCCATAATCTTCTAAAGGTTACTCCAAACTTCAAGCAATTTGTAGGAGCTAGTTAGTCAACAAGATACTTTCCCTCTGATTTGATTATAATGATTTTTGGTTATAAAATACATGAAGTATATAAAACGTTGTATGCTGCTTCCACTTTCGACCATTCTGTATTTAGTAGATTTCACCATGTTATCGCTACCTGATTAGCTGCTCTAGTTAATTTATGAATGGCTTGTACTTCCTTCCTTTTAATTTTGACTTTTATTGCTTCGTCTGAATCATCATTAGGCATTACTATTGATAGAACTTTTTATGAGTGTTATTTACTGATTATCATGTTTGTGATAAAGGTATGATGTCGTACTAAGAATGGATATGTAATTGTGTATTGATTTTCTAGGCTTGAGATAAGGCAGGCCAGTGAAGGTGTCCTTCATGTTCCTGGATTGATTGAAGCACATGTAAGCAACATTAGAGAGGCTTGGGATGTTTTACAAACTGGAAGTAATGCCAGGGCAGTTGGCTCTACTAATGCAAATGAGCACAGTAGCCGGTCTCACTGGTTCGCTTCCGAGTTCATGCTATTTTACCCTCTTTCTTTCTTGCTTTTGACACCATCAATGTACATCATGCTTTTAACATTTGTTGCAGCATACACTGTGTAATGGTAAAGGGACACAATTTGCTGACTGGAGAATGCACTAGAAGCAAGTTGTGGTTGGTTGACCTAGCAGGCAGTGAACGGATAGCCAAAACTGAAGCTCAAGGTGAACGACTGAAGGAAGCACAAAATATTAATAAATCTCTTTCGGCTCTTGGAGATGTCATATCTGCTTTGGCAAATAAGAGTCAACATGTACCATTCAGGTGCATTGTCAATCATTTATGTGAATGTTGTCCTTGCAGATTGTCTATATACATCATAATATCAATGTGGTCCTGTTTTAACATTCATATTACTCCGCAGGAACTCCAAGCTTACCCATCTACTTCAAGATTCTCTAGGTAATATGAGATTTTGTATTATTTTTTATTGTTTTTGTTTTGACCATTAATGTATGAGCTATGGAGAAAACTGGAATCCCTCAATTTGAAATGGATCCTTCAAATTTTATTTGTAGGTGGAGACTCCAAGGCGCTTATGTTTTTACAGATCAGTCCCAATGAAAATGACTTAAGTGAGACTATATGCTCTCTTAACTTTGCTAGCAGGGTAAAGGGAGTTGAGTTAGGTCCAGCAAAGAAGCAATTGGATAATATTGAATTTCTCAGATACAAGCAATTGGTAATAATGATTCCACACTTCAGCTTTCTTTTTAATTATTAATATCATCTTTTAGTTCAACAAGTTTTAATTTGCTTGTAGGCTGAGAAGACCAAGCAAGAGGCAAAATTGAAGGATTTGCAGATTAAGAAGATGGAGGAAACAATCCACAATATGGAGTCGAAGATCAAAGACAAGGACCAGAAGAACAAGAACCTTCAAGAAAAGGTATTTTTTCTTGTATAGGAGAAAGTAAATTCCATTGAACAGTAGCAGTAAATGTATCTTATTGGCCTAATAGATCATTTTTGTATATTTGAGAATTTTAAACCGTTACTAAGAGTAAGAAGTCTTATATTTCAGCTGAAGGAACTTGAGGCACAGCTTTTGGTAGAGAGAAAGTTGGCACGACAACATGTAGACACAAAAATTGCTGAGCAGCAACAACAACAAATGCGGCAGCAGTTTGAAGACCAAAATAGTGCACCGAATAGACCTCCTCTAGTAGCTAAAACACTGGGAACTCTGAAGAATGCCAATGACCTCACAAGTGATTCACCAAGTCTTCCTCGTTTATTTTCTGATCATAACAACCACAAAACACCATCATCTTTTCTTCTGGCGGATAGCTTTCTCCCGGAGAAAGAAAATAATCCTGAGATAGGTGAGCTACTAATGCAGCCGAAAAAAACAGGCAGAGCTTCTCTTTGCCCGACTGCACAGCGGATTCCTGTAGCATCAAATCCAAGAAGAAATTCTTTAATTCCGTTACCCAGCACACCAATGACACTCGATCACCCTTCAACGTTGCCATTTCCACCACCTTTAGAAAACGAGAAAGAAGAGAGAAATGAGGTAGATAAGTGTTTGTTAGAGCCTGCTATATGCAGCCCCGTAGCTTGTAAGAGTGGCGTAAAAAAGTTGAATAGTGTACTGAGGCGAAGTCTTCAGAAAAAAGGGAAATCTCCCATGCAGCAACAGCTTAAGAAAGGAGGCGTAAATGTAGGACTTGAGAAGGTTAGAGTCTCAATTGGAAGTCGGGGAAGATTGGGACAGAGGGTGTTGTTGGGCAATGGTAGAAGAATGGCTACAAGGGAAGCTAAGAAGCAGAGTCAAAGGGAGAAGGAGAGGGGATGGAACTTTTGAATGGTTAAAATCTTTGTTTATATAATTTCTTGTTGATGATGCTTTTCATCTTAATTGATTATGTACACTTGTAACAGATTTCTTTGTGTATATAACATGATACTGGTTTGAGTTTATTTCATTCTAAGCTTTTCATCTCTTCTATTTCGCTAAAAAAAAAAATTCATAAGTTTAAAATTTTGTCAGGGGATTTTTGATCATCTCAGGTAGCTTGTTGCTTCCAAGAAACTGTTTTAAATTCATTTTCGTCATGGGACTTTAAATTACATCTCAGGATCCTTTAACTATCATTTTTTTTAGAGAAGAGAGAAAGAGAGGTGGTACCCATGCTTGATCCCTGGACCTAGACTTCAGAGCTTTCATTCTTTAACCATCCTTTAACTATCATAATTCAAGCTGTAATGCCATATGATAGTAACATTACCTAGAATACTACCGTCATGTGCGTGTGTTTTTTTTTTTTTGGTTTCCTTTTCTTATTGGTGTCTACTTCGCATTATATACTACTGTCTTTCATAGTATATACTGCTGAATAGATTATTTGTTAAATACGGGTTTGGATCGCCTTCCTTACCGACAGATAAAAGACAGTTTTTCAATTGTCGGTAAATAATGGTTTATACGACCACGAAATTGTCAATAATAAGGGTTTTAAGGGTTACTTATTTAACATTTGGGTTCCCTAATTATCAATTAAGGGGTTACCTGTGCAATTATATTGAAAGTTACAAAAGAAATGGTATAGGGGTTACTATGTTTACTTTTAGTAGATCACTAATAAATCTTTGATAAATTGGTAATTTTATAAACACAATATAGATGTGTTGGTATAATTTAGAAATTACTACCTTGTGATTCATTGTTGGCAGGTAGCCAAGTATGTTTTCCTCCATGTTTTTTTTTTTTTTTTTTTTTTTTTTTTGACAACAGCCTTCATGTGTTTTTATTACTCTCAATTTTCATATTCATATGTGAGTCTCCAATCTTTTTAAAAATAAAGAAACAAATTGATATAGGAGGATGTTAGTTAAATCTGTTTTTAGGTGGGAAAGTTAGTTAATTTTGCTGTGTTGTTATTTTTGCTATTTTGTCTTTTTCGAGTTTGTTGGAGAAGAATCTTTTCTGTTAGAAAAGTGGTGGCTTAGTGCAATGTGCTGAGGCATATTAAAACTAATTAAGTTGTAATTGAAATCATAATATCAATTACATTGAATCCAACCTCCTTCTCTCTCTATTTTGTTATTCTTCTCCTTCTTCCTCTATTCTTTGAACTTTCTCCCTCTATTTTCCGGAAACCTCATTCGATTTTTGCATTCAGAAATCAGATAAGGAACTTCAACCTTATCAGTGGTATCGGAGCCTACTGTCTCTCCTCTAGTTGATTCTGGCACCCACTTTAACGACTAGAGTGACTAAGATGGAAGCTCAACTAGCTGCCTTGGAAAAGAAATTTGAATCTTAGACTTCAGCCTCAACGCAAAAGTTTGATGTGCTGATGAGGATGATGCAACAACTCTAGGAAAGCATGGTAGTGAATCAAGAAAACAGGTCACCTCTGACTGGTGATCGTTTTAAGTAGCCAAAACTTGGGTATACTCCTAAACTTGATTTCCCTAAGTTTGATGGTAGCAACCCTAGGATTTGGATTAAAAAAATGCTATAAATACTTTGTGCTTTGCAAAATTCCTGATGATCGGAAAGTGGATTTAGCTTCACTCAATATGATAGACAAAGCTGAAAATTGGGTGTCTAGTTACTTGGCCAATAAGATTGTTGTTGATTGGAATGATTTTGTGATAGATGTGACTAGCAGATTTAAGGATGACAAGGGTTTGAATGTTGTTGAGGAATTTAATAAGTTACAGCGGACTAGTAGCATTGAATCTTACGTTGATGAGTTTGAATACCTCTGATTTATTATGCTACAAAATTATTATGTATTGCTTGAGAAGTATCTGTTAGAAAGCTTCATTGGAGGGTTGAAACTTGGACTTCGACCCTTTATAAAGGCTCTTAAACCCCAATCTATAGCCTCTGTTGTTGAGTATGCTCGTTTGCAGGATGAATTTATAACTGCCAATTTTTAGAAGCAGTCTAAACCTTACAATATACCCACAAAATCACTCCAACCCTTAACAAATACACAAACCTTACCTCCATTGCTTCCTACTCCCCTATTAAAGCCTTTCTCTAACCCTAAACCAAATACCAAACCATTTAGAAACCATAAATATGTTCCTACAGATGTCAGAGCTGAGAAAATAGCTAAAGGTTTATGCTATTATTATGATGCTCCCTATGATAGGAACCATACTTGTCAATTCGAAGAGCCACAATTGTTTGCAGTTGAAATACCAGGTTTAGATGTTGTAGATGCAACAATAGTGGAGTTGGAGGAACAGGATGAGAATCCAGGCTTGGATCCTTGCATCTCTTTGAGTGCTCTCACTGGAACTCATAACTATCACACTATGAGAGTAAAGGCTCTGGTGCATAATACTATTTTGCATACTCTTATTGATTTAGGAAGTACTCACAATTTCCTAGATATTCAATTAGCTCAGGAGTTGGGTTGTAAAATGGATACTATTGAAGGACAACTATTTTGGTAGCTGATATTAATCATTTAGTATGTCAATCAGTTTGTAAAGGGTTTACTTGGAGAATTGGGAATCATGAGTTCACTTTTGATGTCATACTCATACCCTTAGGAAGCTGTGACATGGTACTTGGCATACAATGCTTGAGTACTTTGGGTTCCATCTCTTGGAATTTCAAATAACTCACTATGAAATTCAAGGTGAATTAGGGAGAGGTGGAATTGAAAGGCATGCCTTCTCAAAAACTTAAAGTAGTGAAGGAAGGGCCTGTAGTCAAGATGATGAGTGAGGCAACTCAGATTTGTTTGTTGCATGTTACTGGTATTAATGATGTACCTAACCCTTCTTGTCTGATTCAATTGTCACATGAACATGAGGAACATGAAGAAATGAAAGCCCTAAAATAGCAGTTTGCTGTAGTTTTTGAGGAACCTACTACACTACCTCCAAGTAGGGGTATCTTTGATCATAGGATCAACATAGAGCCTGATAGCATTGCAGTCAACATCAGGCCTTACAAGTATCCTCTCAGACAGAAAGATGTCATTGAATAGCTAGTTCATGAGATGTTGGAGAGAGGGGTCATACAGATTAGCTCAAGTCCTTTTGCTTCTCCAGTTGTGTTGGTAGGCAAGAAGGATGGAACATGGAGGCTCTGTGTGGATTACAGGGAATTGAACAAAAGGACTATAAAGAATAAGTTCCCTATCCTTGTCTTAGATGAAATCATTGATGAGCTATCTGGTGCAATGGTGTTTAACAAGCTGGATTTGAGAGCTGGGTATCATCAACTTAGAATTCACCCTAATGATGTGTTTAAAACTGCATTTAAAACTCATCAAGGGCATTATGAATTCTTAGTCATGCCTTTTAGTTTGACAAGTGCTCCATCCTCTTTTTAAAGTTAGATGAATGCTGTTTTTCAACCACTTTTGAGAAAATGTGTCCTGGTCTTCTTTGATGACATTTTGGTTTACAACAAAAATCTAGCAGATCATTGGCAGCATCTCTCTGAAGTTTTCAAGATCATGGTTCAACACTCTTTGTATGCAAAATTGAGTAAATGTTCATTTGTGACAGCTAGAGTGGAGTATTTGGGCCATTTTATTTTTTGACAAGGGGGTGGAAATAGGTCCCAGCTAGGTAAATGCAATCAATTCATGGCATTCCCCTTCTTCAGTTAAAGATCTCAAAAGCTTCTTGGGGTTAGCTGGATATTACAAGAAGTTTGTGAAAGGGTATGCTATTCTTAGCAAACCTTTAATTGATTTGCTTAAAAAAGGAGCTTTTTAATGGTATGATACAACTCAAGGTGCTTTTAAGCAGTTAAAGGTTGCTCTGGTAAGTGCTTCAGTCTTAGCCTTGCTTGACTTCTCTAAGCAGTATTGGTAGAAACAGATGCTTCCAAAACTGGAATTAGGGCAGTTCTTATGCAGGATAATCATCCTTGCTTTTTTCAGTAGAGCTTTGGGTTCTAAATGGCAAAAATTGTCAGTTTATGAAAAAGAGTTGCTAATGGTGTTTGCAGTCCAAAAATAGGAGCAATACCTAACAAGAGCTCATTTTATTGTCAAAACTGATCAGAAAAGCTTGAAATGGATTTTACAGCAGAAAATCTCAACTCCTTTCCAGCAATTTTGGCTCTCCAAGCTGATGGGATTCAATTGTGAGATCCAGTTCAAGTTTGGAAAAGAGAACATAGTGGTTGATGCACTATCAAGGGTAAAGGCTCAGAAAATTTTGTTCTGGCTATGTCTGTCATTGAATCTAATTTGACTCAGCAAATTAGTGCTATTTATGCCCTGGATACAAACATTGTTGCTTTGGTGCAAAAACTAGATCAAGGTTACATAATTCCCGGGTTTACATACCAGGATAGAATATTAAAAAGGCATCGCAAAATTGTGATAGGTTCAGATGAGAACTTGAAAAGGAAGCTACTTAATTGGCAACATTCTTCTTTAGAAGCTGGTCATTCAGGCAAGGACCAAACTGGGAAGACAATGCAAGGTATTTTCTATTGGAGAGGTATGATGAAAGATGTGAGTCAGTTTGTAAGAAAATGTGTGATCTATCAAGCATCTAAGTATGACACTTCAGCAGTCTGGTGCCTTGCAACCTCTACCTATTCTTGAGAGTGTGTGGACTGATATTTCAATGGATTTCATTTATGGTTTATCTAAGTTAATGGGTAAAAATGTAATATTTGTGGTAGTTGACAAACTGAGTAAATATGCTTATTTCATGACATTGAAACACCCTTATACTACAGTTGAAGTTGCTCAGGTCTATCTGGATTTTGTGTTCAAGTTACATGGTTGGTCAAAGAGTATAGTAAGTGATCAAGATTCTATATTTCTCAGCCAGTTCTGAAAAGGGTTATTTTCCCATCATGGTTCAAAGTTTTTGCTGTCATCTGCTTACCATCCAGAAACAGATGGCCAGAAAGAGGTGGTGAACAGATGCTTGAAAGCTTACTTGAGGTGTTTTTCTAGTGAGAAACGTAAAGGTTGGTGCAAAT